ATGAGACATGAGAGACCAGAGGGTTTTAAATTTTTTGAAATTTTATTTTTGATTCATATTCATGGTTGAGTTCTATCTGCATGTCCCTGCTGATGAAAGACAGAAGGAGAGCAGGGCATGGTGGCTCATGCCTGTAATACTAGCCCTTTGGGAGACTGAGGGGGGCAGATTACAAGATTAGAATTCTGAGACTAGCCTGACCAACATGGTGAAACCCTGACTCTACTAAAAATTCAAAATTTTTGAATTTTTAGTAGAGTCAGGGCTTCATCATGACTTTGCCAGGCGCAGTGGCACGCACCTGTAATCCCAGCTACTTAGGAGGCTGAGGCAGGAGACTCACTTGAACCCAGGAGGCAGAGGTTGCAGTGAGCTGCAGTCTGGCCACTGCACTCCAGCCTGGGCAACAGAGCGAGACTGTGTCTCTTAAAAAAAAAAAAGGAGCAAAACATACAGAAATCAAAGGGTTGGCCTCTGCTGAGGTTATTGGACAAATGCTGAGTAACATGTGCTCACTGCAACCTCTGCCTGCTGGGTTCAAGCCATTCTCTTGCTTTAGCCCCCTGAGTACCTGGGACTGCAGGTGTGCACCACCACGCCCAGATAATTTTTGTATTTTTAGTAGAGACAGGGTTTCACCATGTTGGGTAGGATGGTCTCGAATCTCTTGACCTTGTGATCCACCTGACTTTGCCTCCTAAAGTGTTGGGGCTACAGGTGTGAGCCACCTCACCTGGCCAACATGGTACTTTTAATATCACTGAACCTCCTTGCTTTTTTTTTTTTCCCCCCAGAGTATTTAGCAACCCTTACTCTAGGTTAGTGGAAACTACTTATGACATTCTTTCATCCTCTTTATTTTTGTCTTAATTACTTTCTTAAGAATCCATTTCCCTGCCGGGCGCGGTGGCTCAAGCCTGTAATCCCAGCACTTTGGGAGGCCGAGGCGGGTGGATCACGAGGTCAAGAGATCGAGACCATCCTGGTCAACATGGTGAAACCCCGTCTCTACTAAAAATACAAAAAATTAGCTGGGCATGGTGGCGCATGCCTGTAGTCCCAGCTACTCAGGAGGCTGAGGCAGGAGAATTGCCTGAACCCAGGAGGCGGAGGCTGCGGTGAGCCGAGATCGCGTCATTGCACTCCAGCCTGGGTAACATGAGTGAAACTCCGTCTCAAAAAAAAAAAAAAAAAAAAAAAAAAAAAAAAAAAAAAAAAAAAAAAAAAAAAAAAAAAAAAAAAAAAAAAGAATCCATTTCCCATTTTTGTTCCTAAATTTAAATTCCACCTTACTGATAGGCAGCCAGCGTTTCTCTTTTGGCAATGTTGCTGTGTAATAAACAAGATAAGGAATGGAGATTAGCCGGAATGAACATTTAGAATAGATTTTATCTTCACTCTTCTGACCTCCTTTGGGCACAACCCATTTAAGCATAAACATGTATATTCATATCTGCGTTCATTTCTAGAGAGGTAGATCCTATCACCATTGCATGTCCACGAGTAACATTTAAAGGTTCATTGGAAAAATTCAGTCTTCTTGTGCGCTTCAGCTGAGTAGGAGGAAAAGCCAAATCACTTCTTCCCTCAGCGAGCATTCATAGGTCTCCATCTCTGTGATCACACAGAGTCATTATGTAGCAGTTGGCTCTGATACGCTTGCACAGACACAAATTGAGTCCGACAGGACTGATGTCTCCCGGACTTTGCTGTCATTTGAAATGCTGGCATGAGGATGGGAGCAGTGAAAGCGGGAGGAGCGGGGTGGGGAGGGGGGAGCTGATTCCTTTAGCACTTTTCCTAGGAACTTTTGAGATTTTTAACATTTGATAGCTGTGAGCTGCTTGGTCAGTTGTTTTTCAGAGGGGATTGATAGCAGTAGCTGACTTGGAACAGCTGGCTAGCTTCCGGACGCAGGAAGAAGTTTTTCGATGTACAACTTGCTTCTTCATGTCACCCACTGTTTGAAAAAAAAGGCTATCTAATAGAATGCTAATTAGAGTGATTCCTCTCCTTCTTTTTAGTTTTATGTTTCCCACATTTAAACTGCTCAAGAATAGTAATAAAAAATTATATCTTAAAAAAATTTTTTGTTCCCATGCTTTTCAGTTCCAGGAAAGACGTGCTGTGGTACCTGCATTACAGTTCTTTTTAAAGCACAAGTTATTTTAGTGGATTAGGTTATTTCTGGATATCTCGAGTATTTCCTGTCAAAAATTTTGTATATGTTTCAAATATTCCAGTATAAGAAAAGGTATGCAGTTTGATTTTGCAAACGGATACTGATAGTCATTCTTACATTTTTTCTGCAGAGATGGAGGATGCAATAGGATGTGATCCACTCTCCGTTTTAAAATTTTTCATTAAAAGTGTACTCTGTATTAGAGGCTGTGCTAGATTTATTGAAGGTTCTATTGGTACAATTATTTAACATGTGAATAATCATACTTCAAATGATTGCTTAGAGCCGGTCAGTCATTGTCTCCTTTCTTTTTAATTTCCCCCAGGACCGCCATTACCCATAAGTCTTGTATACTTCTCACCTGGAATTCTTGCTACAGCCTAATACCATTCTCTAAGTCATCCCGAATCCAGTTGTCAGCTAATCTTTTCAAAGCCTCGTTCCATGTTACTCCTCTGCTCTAAAGCATTAAATAGCTCTTTTTCTAAATTTGCTGAATAAAGGCCATTTGACTTAGATCACCATCCAAAGCTCTCTTCGACCTATTTTTTGTTGTTGTTTACTTGTTTTTGAGTCTTGCTCTGTTGCCCAGGCTGGAGTGCAGGGGTGCAGCCTCAGCTCACTGCAACCTCCACCTCCCAGGTTCAAGTGATTCTCCTCCCTCAGCCTCCTGAGTAGCTGGGATTACAGGCAGGTGCCACCACGCTTGGCTAATTTTTGAATTTTTTGTGGAGAAGGGGTTTCACCATGTTGGTCAGGCTGGTCTCAAACTCCTGACCTCATGATCTGCCCACTTTGGCCTCCCAAAGTGCCGGGATTACAAGCATGAGCCACTGTGTCTGGCCTATTATTATTATTTTTTAAGTCTGAGCCTAATTTTTTTTTTCTGACAAAGTCTCACTTGTCAGCCAGGCTGGAGTGGCATGGCAGGACCTCGGCTCACTGAAACCTCTTTCTCCTGGGTTCCAGTGATTCTCCTGCCTCAGCCTCCCAAGTAGCTGGGATTGCAGGCATGTGCCACCATGCCTGGCTAATTCTTTTGTATTTTTAGTAGAGACTGATTTTCACCATGTTGGCCAGGCTGGTCTTGAACTCCTGACCTCAAGTGATCTACCTGCCTTGGCTTCCCAAATTGTTGGGAATACATACGTGAGCCACCACACCCGACTCTGAACCATTTTCCTTTGTTTCATCCTCTGGGTTTCCTAATAGAAGATGGTTTCCTATGACTCCAACCAGAAGGTTCACAAAGTGTGGTCTCTGGACTGGCAGCATGGGCATCACCCAGGAACATGTAGAAATGCAAATTTATGCAAATTTGTGACTCAGGCCTGTAATCCTAGCACTTTGGGAGGCTAAGAGTGGTGGCTTACCTCTGTAATCCTAGCAGTTTGGGAGGCTGAGGCAGACAGATCGCTTGAGGCCAGGAGTTCTAGACCAGCCTGGACAACATGGTGAAACCCTGTCTCTACTAAAAATACAAAAATTAGGTGGGTATGTTGGTGGGCGCCTGTAATCCCGGCTACCTGGGAGTCTGAGGCAGGAGAATCACTTGAACCCAGGAAGCAGAGTTTTCAGTGAACCACAGTTGTACCACTGCACTACAGCCTGGGTGACAGAGTAAGACTGTCTCAAAAAATAAAAATAAAAAAAAAAAGCAAATTGCTGAATTATTGGACCCCCACCACAGACCTACTGACCCACAAACACTGAGGGTAGTACCCACCTATCTGTTCTGAGAAGGTTTCCAGGTGGTCTGATGCATGCTGACCTTTGGGAGGCTCTGTTCCAACCAAAGCAGGAAACTCCCCTTTTCCAAAGTTCCTTTCCCGCTGTCCTGCCTTTGCATAGAATTCCTGGAGTGCTTTTCTGTCATCTTATTAAAATCCTGCTTAAACTTCAAGGTGAAATTTGAGACTATTTCCATGATGTCATTATTGAGTGAATCTTTTACAGCATAATCTGGTTTTTTTCCTGGCACACATCACTTATTAAATTGTACTAGTCATCTGGTATACCTACTTTATTTTCCCTACTAATCTGGAAACAAAAATAATAGAACCTGACTCATCTTTGTACCTCAAGATACCTTGTGCTGTCACTCTTGATGGCTTGCACACAGTAGGTGCTCCAAAAATAGTTTGTGGCTTCAGAGAAGATTGAGAAAATTAAACCCTTGCCCAGGGGGCATATAAAAATTCTGTTAAATCAAAGAGGCTCATGCTAACTCTTGTTTTGACACTGAAGTCAAACTAGATGTGAATGTTGATGTGTCTTCAGGGACGAAGCCAAATATACTAGTGTAAAAAATTCTCACCTGTGCTGTTTAGCTGGAGAAGTTGAATTACCCCTGTCAGTTTTACCTGATGCCAAGAAAGCAGCTTCCATTATTGTGTCAGTAATAGACTTTTATCCTGCATGGAGGAACTTCTCTTAAATCTTTCTCATAGCACTGGTGTGCTGCTTTCCGCTGATGTATTCACGTAATGTTTCATAAGAAGTGACAGTTCCTTTTCAGGTGCTTTGCCCAAAAGGTGGCATAAGCATAGAATGAAATTCAAGGTGGTTGGCTTTAGGACAGCCTAAAATTGGAAATGCGAAAGCTCCCACGTAACACAAACCCAGATATTCTGATTCCTACATTTTACAAACCAAGTTATTTCCTTCCTAATACAAAGCATGACAGTTCCAATTGATTGTATATTTGAAGTGGGTTGTGTCTGTTATGGTGATGGTGATGGAACCAGGGGGAAAGAGTAAGAAATGTAAGGACCTTTGTATTTACTTCCTTTTCTTTTCTCTCCCTCCCCGCATTCAGGCTCTGAAAGTGTTCCAGCTGAAATTTCAGATCGGCCAGACTCGCTGCGGCTCCGGAGGCAGTGATTCCAAGCTGCTCGCGCACGCTGCTGCCAAGCTGCAGGATGGTGCACGTAGCCAGGCTGCTGCTGCTGCTCCTCACTTTCTTCCTCCGCGCGGATGCTGAGAGTAAGCCATTCTCCCCTTCTCTAGGGGGCTGTGACCATAATGAGTGGTTTTGTTTGCAGTTGGCACCAAGCTCAGGGCCTCTGAATACATTTCCTTTGGAAGTAAATCCTGAGACACTGTGGGATGCTCCTTGGCTACCAGCCAGCCTTTGAAAGAGATTATTGACGAGACTTCCTCACCATTTCCTCTCCCTTTAATGCCCCTTTTCTTGTGCGTCTAACTGCTCCTCCTGTTTATTTTTTATTTTTTATACCTTTTATCAGCCTGGTAGCAAAGATATTATGAGACCATTGATAGAACTCAAACTAAGGTTAACCAGTTGGTGGTGCCAATAAGTAAACATTGTTCAGACCCACTCGAAATTTCTTCAGTTTTGTGGATCGTTCCATGTTTAGAAAAATGCACAATGTCACATTGAGCCTAATTAAACTTCCAAGCCCCTTGTAGCTGTCATAGCAGCTGTTCTAATGTACTGTTTCCGACAGCTGTCGTCAAGTACAGTATTCAAACAAATCAAGCAGAACTGACAACTTTGTGGCTGGATGAAGGGTCTGGAAGTGTGAGGAGAATTCTGTGGAATAGAGACACCAAAGTTTGGATTACTGGACTCCATTTATGAAACTGCTATTGTAGTCAATTAGCTTGACAGTTAATGAGAAGATCACATCTCCTTCCTAATTAGGAAATCATTAGGTTTACCTTGTTTACATGTGTTTGTTTTCCCATCTGTCCCGTGGCTTTTTGAAAGAGAGAATACTAGAGAAAGGCATGTCCTGGGCTTGTACTCCGTGACATGTGTGGTTCCTTGGTAGTGGTTTAGTTCTTACATGAGTTGGCCATTCTCTTTGGGAATCCCCTGGTATGAGTGAAATGTGTAACATCTGCAGTCATTAAGATTTCTCTCCACTGACTATTTCAGTGAGATTCACTTTGATTCATGTTAAGGATGTTTCCAAGACGAGGATCCTGTGTCATCTTGGCCCCTTCCTATTAATTGCATTTTGACAAGAATTCCCTTAGGAGCCGCCAATTGCTTCATTGAAATAGGAGCTCTATTTTCTGAAGAGACATTTTGAGAAGTGAAAGGAATAACATTAATAATAAGATACATATGTAACATGCATGTTTTAAGCATAACATTCCCTGATTCATAATGTATACAGTTTCCTAATTAGCACTTGGGAGTGTCAATTTAAGGTGAAGCCAAGGAATTTCTAGTCTAATGCCAGCAAATAATTAACTGGGAAAAGACCCAAATATAAGATGTTCTTGTTATTTTAAAGCCATTCATGTCAAAACTTATTTTAAAAGTAAAATTTAAATTTAGTTTATTAAAGAGAAATTGAGTCTATGGTTTTATTATTTTTGTTTGGCTAGAGTGCAAAAGTAAGTTGTTTCACCATTGTTAATTTTTGGCAAAAGCCGATTTAGACCCTGGGAGCCCACTTTAATGTCAGATCACAGCTAGAGGTTTTTAAAAGTTACTAGATATAATTATTGTATATCCATGAAGTTACTTTTCCGAATAAGAACAGATATTCTTCTACTGAGCAGTGATGCCTGTGCTTAATCCTCTGGTGAAAAGTGGAAGACAGAAGTGAAGAGTTTAGAAAGGAATACTTTTTTGTTCGAAAAAACCAATCTTTTCCGCAGATAACCGTCATCTTAGCGGCTTTCTCCTCTCTCTTCCTCTCTTTCTTCTTCATCACACTTCTTATGCTGTGTAGTCTTACAAAAGAAATTGCAAAGGCCCTTGTTAGCGATTTTTAGTTAAATTAAGATATTTATCATGCTACGTATTTTGTGATATCAGCTTTCAACCTCAAGATGTCCCTTGAAAAAGAATCTATTCCCTCTCACCCTTCCCATTACAGCTAAAAAGAGGAAACAGGCTTCAATTTTGCCAAATCAATTTTGATTAGCTTTGTCCTTGTCTAATCAGCCTCCATGTAGAATATTTTCCTTTTCACAGATTCATTTGGCACTCTTGAATAGCATGCGTATTCTGAAAGTTATTGAGGAAAGAGGAAAATTTAACCACATCTTTTAAGGTGCATTTTAAAAGAAGAGGGACCATCCATTTGCAGTCTACCAGAGGATACTTGTGGTTTATGAAAGTACACGGTAGAGTTGGAGATAAAATTTTAGTCACTAAAAATGTTTAAAAACAACTGGCAGAATAGGTTTCAGATTGTAACCCATCAAATTCTGTCATTACCTTTTCTTCAAACACTGAAATAAAAAATGCAGTTATAAGTAGCACTGAAGAAAAGTTTGATGTCTTCACTATCATAGAAAGATATTATTTTTCAGGCTTTTATTGCCTGAGTCATGCTGGTTTGTTTCCGTGTGCCTTTGTTAGCACATCCAGCTTTCCTTATTTTCCCTTGTACCTAACTGTGTTTTGTATTTATCCAAAGGATCAAGAGTTATTAATAGTAGCTTGTCAGAGCCTTAGAACTCTGAAATAATTTTTTCAAATGTTTGCCCTCCTTTGAAAAAGAAGACTATATGGTGGGAATGGAAAGAAGCCGCTTAGTTTGCCACGTTAATTTAATGTGTTCAACTCACTCTCTTTTGAAATGATTAACTCCAAAGAGCCTGGGAGTCAGGGTTATAATCTGCTGTGTGCAATGTCATAGCAAAGTACTGGGTGTGATGTTGCATTAAGTAGGAGCGCTCTTATGAGCCTTGGTTCAAACCTAGGTTGGAAAATTGTGATAATATCCCTCAGCAGAAAATTATAGTCTTTGCCATTGCCAGTTTAATATGCCCTGCATATCCACTATTATTTTAAAAAGCTAGACGCATGTTTGTGTCTGATTTCTGCTCATTCCTGTGTCTTGAATGCCCCAGATGATTTTGCGTGTTGTTTCTGGAATGCATGTATGGACAGTAGAGCTTTGATCTTAGGGAGAGGCAGACACGACGTCTGTTCAGGCAGCATGAGTAGCTCTTCAGGGCTGACCAGCCAGCTTTCTGGTTTAGGTAGTGCTCCGAGAACAATTCGGCTGTAACATGTGTGCAAATTCAAGATTCATATAGATTATAGTAATGTATCCTCAGGTGAATGTTTTTCTTCTTGATGAGTTTTCACAATAGCTTCTGTTAGTTGTATTTCATACATAAATTACGTTTACTATTTACCAGTCTTTAACAAACAACCAGGCCAGGCGCAGTGGCTCACGCCTGTAATCCCAGCACTTTGGGGGGCCGAGGCAGGTGGATCACTTGAGGTCGAGAGTTCGAGACCAGCTTGACTGACATGGTGAAACCCTGTCTCTACTAAAAATACCAAGTTAGCCAGGCATGGTGGCCCATGCGTGTAATCCCAGCTACTTAGGAGGCTGAGACAGGAGAATCACTTGAACCCGGGAGGCGGAGGTTACAGTGAGCCGAGATCATGCCATTGCACTCCAGCCTGGACAACAAGAGTGAAACTTCGTCTCAAAAAAACTAACTAAATACGTAAGAAAAACTAAATGCAGACCAAAAACCCGCTGTTAGCATCTTCTTTGTCAGACCAGTTTCACTCTAACAAAACCTCTTATAGCAGATGGTTACATTCTGGAGCCGAGTTGTGGTCATGATAGTTGGACCTGAGTGTCTCTCTGATCTCAGGAATAGGACTTTTTCAAAATTGTAGAAACACGCTCTTGATAATTTCATTCCTCAGATGGTTTAATTCATCTGTTTACTTGTTGCTTTTTGTCATTTTTCCACTTCAGATTGTGAATACTTTCTCATTCTCCTTCCTCATTGTTAAAGAGCCTTGCTGCAGTCACTGTATACTCGCAATCTTTCTGTCCTTTATGGAAGCAGTAAGTTCTTCCTCAGCTCCCTTTGGTATGATATCACAGTAGCCCATGGAATTTCTTTATTTCTTTGACATTAGAGCATAGACGGACATCTGTGTTGTAAGATAACCGTTTGTTACCTTGAGTATTTCCTGCTGGGCAGCATGGAGGAACGGTGGAGAATGTGAGCTCTGAAGCCACAGTCTGGGTTTGAACTCTGCCTGTCATTTGGTAAATCATGCTCTTAGCCTCAGTTTCCTCTGTCTTTGTCATTTTAATCAGTCATGCTCTTTGCTTCAGTTTTCCTATTTTTAAAATGTGGATGACAGTGATGGTCCTGATATCATACTCCTGGGTTTTGCGAGGATTTACTGAATTGAAATAAAACTTGTAGATTAGCAAATAAAACAAGGTAGGTGTTTCATGAATGTCAGCTCTTACTATATCTTTATTCAACAAGATTTAGCAAACATTTTTGTTGAACACGTGTGAGGTACTGTGCTAATATTTTTTTGTTAATTTGACATACAGATCATCAAAATTTGGATAGTGGTTAAGCCAGGTTTTCTTGTAGGAAGTTAAAGTCTCCAACTTGCTTCTCTGTCAAGTCCTGTATGTAGTTCTTATAAACTCCTGCTTCCGGGCATTAAACTGAAGATCAGGAGGGGAAATATAAAGCATATCTGTTTTAGTCAAATGGTTAAAAAAAAAACTTCTTAGAATTACACATTTAAAAGTGATTTGGCTTGGGTAGAATGGGTAGTAGAAGGTGTTTTCTCTCTCTTTACTATTGCCTCTTACGTACATTTTATTGAGCAGGTCACGGGAAGGAACTGTGGAAATTTACTGTCGGTAAACAGTCATACATTGCCTCTTCAGAAACTGGAGGTAGGGCTGAGCTTGGTGAGAAAGAGAGTGAGTGGCCATTGATATGGCCAGGAAGTATATTGTAGAAAAAAAAATTATTATTGTTTTAGTTTTTTTGAGACAGAATCTTACTCTGTTGCCCAGGCTGGAGTGCAGTGGTGTGATCTCAGCTCACTGCAACCTCCGCCTCCCAGATTCCAGAGATCTTTTTGCCTCAGTGTTCCGAGTAGCTGAGATTACAGGTGCCTACCATCAAACCCGATTAATTTTTGTGTTTTTAGTAAAGACAGGGTTTCAACATGTTGGCCAGGCTGGTCTCAAACTCCTGACCTCAAA